AGGGGACAGAGGCCAAAACGGAGATAATTTTGAGCCTTATGAAAATGCAAATATATTTCAGTCTTTGATTTCCAGATTAAGATTGGCGGATTCTGATAAGCATATAAAAATGAAGATAAAATAAAAATAATAAATTTAATATACACACATATATATATGATACAAAAATGACAATTATAAAGCCGTGTAATTAAGAAACTCAGAATTAAGTGGAGAAATTTGCCAACAGTGAAGGAGAGACAAGTCGAATTAGTGTGCATGTTAATACAGTAAAATTGCTTATTAGTTGACAGCAAACTAAAGATCAAAAATTACAAAATAACAAAATAACAAATCAAAATTAAATGACAGGCCATGAAAAAATGAGAAACGAAAATATTTGAATAGAGCAGGTGAAGTGCAGGAATCTATATGAGATTCAGATGAATCAATGGTATTAGTGACTGGTGGCTAAACTCTATGGTGTTCAATAATAATCCGTTCCACATAGTCTGGCCTTCAATGTAATATATTAAGCTTCATAGTAAGTGCTCGGACGGAAAGGCAACCGTATCTGTCCCGCAAAATGGTCTGTCGGAGCAAACGCCGTAGACTCATTCAGCTGTACATGTACACTTTTGGAAATCAGATAGGCAAAAAGTACTTACTAGACTTACTTCGCTAACAAGGATGATGTGAATTGTCTAAGCCTATGAAGCTTAAGTTAACGGTCCATGTATGGATATAGTAAAAAATGTCGTTCTTGAAATATATGCGAACCAAATCTTTAAGAAGGACAATTATAACGTGTCCCATAGAACAAAGTAAAAAGACGGCTATGTGACAAGAACTCTTATTAACAGCACAACAAGAAAGATCTCTTTGATTTAGATTTTACATAGGAGCTGTAGCTATCTAGTCTTGTCTGCAATCAATCAAGGTACTTAAAGACAGGTACAAAGATACAATAACATGAAAGTGTAGTTGTACATAGGAAGGGTACAATTCAAAAATTTTACACACTTAATTTGAGGTCATAAGAGTCTCAGTAATGGCAAATCGAACCAATTGGAATTTATAACCAACCTTTCCGACAGGGCCATTGAACAGTCTCGAGACATCAAGCTATGGTACTTGTGTTTTGACAAACACTCATAAACACGGCCGTCTCCGGATTCTATATCACGACAAAACCGCTCTCTGTCATCACGGCAGGCATAGAAGAGCGGTCTATCAAGATGAAAGTCGTCCGATTGAAGCTCGCCAATACGCATTATTTGTGATCTGCAAGCAGGAGTTAACTTTTCAACGCGCAACGTCAGGCAATGGATCGTAGAACCTTGGGACTTCACATCTGAGCGTATAGATTCATTCTGTGCAGGTGGATCCATGGAAAGCCGACCGCATTTATAATGTTCAATGTCTTCATGGCAGGAGTCTATAAACTTGTACACTAGTCTGTAATCAGAAAAAATTATTTCGCCGATGTAATTAAGATGTCTACGACATTCTTTATGCGTAATCTGAAATGGGAAAAATAAATAGTTGCTAGATTCGGCTTAAGTCAATATGTAGTATGGTTTAAAATAGTGCGAGTAGACATTAATAAAATTAGCAATCAACAAGGTTATGTTAGATAAAATAGGTTGATTAATGTCACAGCAAAGCTACGTTCTGATGACCTAGACAAATAAATAAGGATAGTTTACGAATAAGTAGATAATATGAAATTCTTGCCTCATCCTTATGTTGAATCAGACAGGGTACTCGAAGGCCTGACCCAGGCTTCAAGGTCTTGCACTCCTGAATAGAATTAAATTCATATCTACAAATTCCAGGGATCACAGAATCGAAATATTCCTTTCTGGTCAAGTGATTTTTTCGCTGCCATATTAAGTGCTGACAGCTAATGCTCACAGAGTCCACTGTTTTTTGGTCTTTCTACAATAAAGTCACTGTGATCATGGAGAATATGAGCAAAATGACTCGATAAAGCCAATGTATACCTGTAAACAGCGAATCGTCTCGAAGTCAGATAATTCGCTACCAGTGCATAAGGTTCGTATATCATCGGAGCAACGAATGCTTTCGGAGAGGGGAACAGAGGATATATTCAAATAATTTGACAACGAAAAAATTGGAGGTAAATTATTCGCTTCATCTTGATTTTCTTTGGGTTTATTTTGTCCTTGTAGTTAGAAATTAAAAATAAAGCTATGAGACGCCCTGGCAAAGAATGATTCAAAAAAATGCATTATCGAAATAAAACATAGAAATATGATATTACCTGATACAAAGAGAGTGACACAAATTACAGCATAAAGATATAGTAAGAACGAGTATTGGGTGTAAGGAGGCATTAGGCGGTGAGCCGATATAACGAATCAATACATCCGCTAGGCGAATCTACAAGAAATAGGGAAAGATATATTTCATTTTTTGGTCTAGCTATTTTATAAAAGTTTAGTAATTTATGTAAATTTTGAGGATTTTTTAATTTTAAAAATAAGCAATAAACTAAAATTTATAAATTATTTGGGATTAGATTACATTACTATATGTGATAAAGATATCACGCTAAGCAAACATCCCACGAAAGAAGAGACCATCTCTTGTTGAAAGATAATCGATTTTAATATACGATATACATGTAATTTTGTCATACTTCGGTGATTTATTGGGATATAAAGAGAAATCTAAGCTGCATTCACTCTAGTTCGCATGGGGTGATGTAAGACTGATAGCTGAATCTTCAAACTATGATATCAGTAAGCCTTAGAATAACTTGGTATTTTGCTTAGTCTTTCATTCTAAAAATTGTTATAAACTAGAATTGACTGGTACTTCAACCTTATCTAGGTCTTATCATCCTCCCCATCAGGAGCCCAAACCGGATATTGCAGTTTATAATGTTGTCACGATACCACTACGCCACACTACTACAGGTGCGATACAGAGGTAAGATAAATCTGAATGTCAAGGGCTGCCAGGCCTCTCCCATATCATATTCGCTTTAGTGGGATTGTTGATGAGGCAAACTTGTATTTACTATTACAATCGACAGCTGTCCGCTTTGGATTAGAATACCTGGTAGAAAGAAGGGCTAAGTATACTTTAATGGCATCGTAAAGAATACTGATGCCATTGTGGACAAATGAAGCTATCAGTCATGTATCTTATTGTTCGACCTTAATGAATACAGCATTTATTTAAGATAGATGAGCAAATTCGAAGCCTACTCAGCGTGACCGCAAGACAAATCAACCGTATAACAGCAACAGGAGGCGTTATGGTCATAAATAGGATTTGAAAAGCTTATAAAAGCATATAGACAAGCTTAAACGTATTTCTACTTGTTTTGAAAAAAGTTAGAGACAAATAACTCCTTTGATTCACATACCTAGAGAAATCTTGTGTCTGAAAGCAGGCATGAGGTTTCTTTTATAACTTGTTGTGCATGCAAGTGCAGAAGGACTCAATTTGTTTTGTAATCTATGCTTGGTCTTTATCCTGAAGTGTACTCCTCTCATTATAAAAAAAATAACTCAGAGACCCATAGTACGACTGTATTTTTATCAAATTATCTTGTTCTTAAACCTTGGCTTTCTGCTAGAATTGATATATAAACGGCTAACTATTCAGCGACATTTACGCGAAGTCCGAGTCATATCCATAAAAGCCCCAAAAAGATAAATACAGAGGTGTTGCTGTAAATAAAACCACTTATTAATATTAATATAATTGTTTTCCCATATATATATATTTAAAAAAGGGATATCTACAATTCCGTCAATACTATG